ACAGAACATCCTAAGGAAAACACTGAAAACTATTAGAACTACTAAATGAGTTCAGCAAAATGACAGGATACAAGATTGATGTACAAAAATTAATGGTATTCCTTACACTGGAAATGAACCATCTGAAAATAAAATTAAGAAAATAATTCCATCTATAATAGCATCAGAAAGAATAAACTATTTAGGAATAAGTTGAATTTATAAAGATCAAAACTTGTACCCTGAAAACTAAAAAAAATTGTGAAAAAGTAATGAAAAAATATCCATGTTCATATGGATGTGAAGATTTAATACTGCTAAGATCAATACTCCCCAAGTTGACTTGCAGATTCAGTGTGATCCCTATCAGAATCCTGCTGTTTTTCCTTACAGAAACTGATAAGCTGATCCTAAAATTCACAGCCATTGAAAGAGAACAGAATAGCAAACGAAAATCTTGAAAAAGAAGAGCAAAAATCGAAGGACTCCCACTTTCTTTTTTTTTTTTAATTTCTTTTCAGCATAACAGAATTCATTGTTTTTGCACCACACCCAGTGCTCCATGCAATACGTGCCCTCCTTAATACCCACCACCTGGCTCTCCCAACCTCCCACCCCTCGCCCCTTCAAAACCCTCAGGTTGTTTTTCGGAGTCCATAGTCTCTCATGGTTCACCTCCCCTTCCAATTTCCCTCAACTCCCTTCTCCTCTCCATCTCCCTATGTCCCACTTTCTGATTTCAAAATGTACTACAAAGTAATCAAAACTTTGTGGTACTTGTGTTAGGAATAGACATATTGACTCATGAAATAGAATTCAAAGTCCAGAAACAAACTCACAAGTGTACTGAGACAATTTAATGGGGGAGAAATAGTTTTTTCAAAAATGACTTTGGGACAACTGGATATTCACATGCAAAAAATGAAAGAAGGCCCTTACATTACATCATCAACAAAAATTAACTCAAAATGGATCAAAGACCTAAATATAAGAGGTAAAACTATAAAATGTCTATATGAAAACAGGCATAAATCTTCATGTCTTTGGTTTCTGCAATGGATTCTTAAACATGACATCAAAAACAAGAACATCAAAAGAAAAATAGAGAAGTTCAGACTTCAACAAATTAAAGCTTCTGCGCTTCAAAGGACTATTCAGAAAGCGAAAATACAATCTATAGAATGGAAAAACATTTGCAGATCATATATCTGATAAGGGCTTGTATGTAGACTACATAAAAACTCTTATGACTGAATGATAATAAAAGGTTAATAACTAATTTTAAGATGGGCAGAAGATTTGAGCAGACATTCCTCCAAAGAAGACATACGAATGGCCAATAGTATATGAAAAGATGCATGACGTGTAGCCTTCAGACCCACTAGGATGGCTAGTGTCAGAGGTCAGGTAATAATAAGTGTTGACAAAGATATGGACAAGCAGGAATCCTCACACATTGTTGGTGGGAATATAAAATGGTGGAGTCCTTTTGGAAACATCATCTGTCATTTCCTCTATCATTGTGCAGAGTTTCCAAACCGCCCTGTAATTTCATTCCTACTTATACAGTACAAAGAGTTAAAAACATATCAAATAAAATGTTGCATACAAGTGTTTATAACAGCACTCTTCATGATGGCTAAAGGTGGAATCAACCAAAATGTTCATCACCAATGAATGGATAAAAAAATAGAGCATAGCTGTGCCATGCAATATTATTTAGCCATAGAAAGGACGAAGTTCTGATATCATACACTACAATATGGGTGAACCTTGCAAACATTCGGCTAAGTGAAAGAAGCCATTCATAAAAATTACATATTCTATGATTGCCTTTTTTTTAATGATTGCTTTTTAAATAAAATATCCAGAAATAGGCAAATCTACAGGGACAGAACATAAACTAGTGGTTTCCTTGGCCTGGGGAGAATGGGGGGTTGTGGTATGGGAATCAGTAGCTAAATGGTGCATGATTACTTTTTGTGGTATTGAAAATGTTCTAAAGTTGACTGTGGTGATTGTTGCACATATCTGCGAATATACTAAAAAAAACTGAATTGTACACTTAAAAAAGCCAAAATTGATGAAGGTGGTATATGATTTACCCAAGCAACTACAGACTTTTCCAGGTTAATATGAAAATGAATAGGTATGTTTTTAGAAAATAAAAAATTGTTGAACTCAAATATCTGGACCTGATATATATATATATTTTATATACATAAAAATGTTCATGTAGAACACATATACCCCACATTCTTTTTTTGCTTTAAATCAAAAGGATACACATGAATAAAATATAAGGAACATTGATATTCTTTAGGAAGTAACATTAAACATAGAAACTTTTCTACTAAAAATATCATTTTCTCCTCTTCTTAGTCTTCAGGATGGAATGCCCTAGGACTCGGTCCTGTTTCTCTTTTCTTTTTTGCTAGGCTCTCCACTGGAGACCTTAACAAGTCTCATCATGTTAAATATTATTTCATAATTAAGATTCCCAATTCCATCCTTCCAGTTGCTCAAGACGAAAGCTTTGCTTTAGTTCCTGATTCCTCTCTTTTTCTCTCACACCCTACACCTATCAGGAACTTCTGTTGGCATCACCTTCCAACACATCCAGTAGCCAAACCCTACCATCCCCTCCACTTGGTCTACTCCGTCCAAACCACTGTCCCCTTTTCCCTGGCTGACTGAAAGAGCCCTGGAAATCTCCTCCCTACCTCTAACCTGGTGAATGATCCTTTCAAGACACACCCTCATCACGTCACTCCTCAGGATACCACAGTCTCTCCATGTTCTCCTCAGGGTGAAAGCCTGTCTAAGAGGCCCTACAGGATCAGGGCTCCATATCCTGAGCTCCGCAGCTGAGCCTCACTGGCCTCCACACCAGATCATGCCAGACATGCTTTCACTCTGGCTTCTCTGATGGCTGATCCCTCTTTGGTGGGAATGCTGTTCCAGCTGCTATCTGCATGGCTAACTTTCTTCCTCAGCCTTTGCTCCAATGCCTCCTACTTAATAAGACTTAACTTGGATAATCTTGCTTATAAAGCCCCCAGTGGAGCCCCTTTCACCTTTTCTTTTTTTCCTATGCTAGCTTTCACCTTGTGAACCACACTGTATTATTTCCTTATTTGTCATGCTTATTGTCTTTAGTCCCCTGTTAGGATATCAGCTCCATGAGGGTAATCAATCTTTGTGTGTTCACCGATACACTCTACACACCCAGAACATGCCTGAAACTCAGAAAATACTTTGGATTGAATTATTGGAATTTGAGCACCCTGTATCAGGTGTGTTAGGTGCATTTTGTCACCTAAGTAGACAGAATATGGTGTTGCCACTAGAACAGTTTTTCCAAAGCATTTTTTTCATGACTTGATAAATAACGATTTGATTTCTCCTTGTGAAGTTGAGACATGTTAGCTTGGGAAATTCCTGGACAAGTATCCCTGAGGTAGATGAGTCTGTGTTTCTGTGAGGAGTGATGTCAAGTGCTCTATGTGAGACAGGAAGAGGAGTTCATTTTTGTTTTTTCGAGGTGGAGTGAGGTAAGGGACAGGGAGGGCAGAAAACAGAGCAAGGCTAGAGGTCGGGTAAAGAGTCACAGCAGGAGTCAGATCATGGCTAGAACTTAGAAAATAGAGTCATAATCTTACCCCACCATCCCTCAAGTAAAAAGAAACAAATGAACAAACACCCAAAAAACTTTCTGTGAGTTTTTGTGAAAACCAAACAAGAGGCCAATTTTGTTTACACATGCTTTTTTTTTGTTTGTTTGTTTGTTTTTTGTTTTTTGTTTTTTTTTTTTTTTTGTTGTTGTTGTTTGTTTTGATATTGTGGAGCAAAATTGGGTCAGTATGCACAAATACAGAAACCGAGGCAGGAGAGTGTTCGTTCCAGGGATTTTCAAAATCCTAACTAAGGGCACTTCACGGGCTTTGAGGTCAACCTGTACTTACATCCCTGCAGGAAAAGTAATGCCAGGTTACATCTGGGTCACATGTACACCCTGGAAATACATTGAAAAGCTTAGAAAAAGCATAGGATAAAAACCGATGTTAAAAGTGGTAGACATTCAAAAAAAAATGTATAAAAACTTGATGCCCATAGTTATAGCCACCAAGCTGTTTTGGAAGGTGGTGGGAAGGTAGGCCGACATTTCGCTAAATTATGGAACAATATGTCTTCAGTTTCTTCTGTCTCCAGCCCCTGAAGTACCTTGTCCTCTTTGGTAGGTTTTGGTGAGCGGAGCTAACACTTACTGAACTCACTGTGTGGCTGGGGCTGCTGCTTATTGGCTCCTTTAATTCTCCCTACAATCCTTCGAGGTTGGGGGGTGGGGGGTTGGAGGAGCCCCATGTTTTTCAGAGGCGGAAAATGAAACACAGAGCAGAAAGGAACTTGCCCCAGTTCACGTGGTCCGTAGTAGGGTAATCAGAATTTGAATTCAGGCAACGGACCTCTAGAACTGTGATCCCAACCACAGTGGGAGAAGTTCTAAAGGGGAATGTGCCTCCTCTGTTGGATGTTATTTTAGTAAGGCCTGATCTGCGTTCTGGTGATATTCTCTAGCCCTGGGTTTGCTGAAGACAATTCTCTTTTCACACATTATTTTGTCCTATGCCCTTTTCCCTAACGAAACATGGATATCCTGAGCTGGCCCCATCTGCCATTCCTCCCTGTTCAGGTCTGACTCCCAGGTCAGTTTTGTTTGGTTATATATACTCCTTCAGATAGCTAGAGATAATTTATTCCATGAAGATCCTCAACCTGACACCTGAGAAACCTTGTTCTTCACACGGCACCCTCCACAACACCCATTCTTAAAATACACATCAGAGTGCCTCCCTGTAAAAATTAAATGACTTCTTTCCTATACAAACATCTGGAAAAATTTTATCCTCCCCCCCTGCAAAAGCTGGCTCAGAAGTAATATTTTCTTCTCTTCAGTTTATGCCGGGTGATTTTTTTGTTGTTGTTTATCTTTGGCATTGCTCCAAAGCATTTCAACGTACCATGTATTTTGTGGGATACTTCTCTGCCTGTATGCTGGTGGATCCCGAGGCGATGAACTAGAGAAAGAAACAGGCATTTGTAAACACCCACTCCTGTTGATGGTCCCCTACACAAGCACTTTCGCAATGCCAATGACATTCTTGGGATCTGAGGTATCACAGAATTCTCAGAAGAAAGAGGTTTTAATTAGTTCAGTTCTGTGATGACCAGTAGCCGATGCTCTACAAAATGGATTCACTGTTTCTCTGTTAACCGGTGTTACAGAGATGAGAAGACATTTTTAACCTCTCTGGTCACTAAAGAGCCTTTGTGCTGGTGATGGGACTTAGCCACCTCACAATGACTTTATGAGGAATGACCAGTAGGTAGATCACTTCTTTGGACTGTCATTTATTATGCTCATGATGTAAATTGTTAGAACGTAACCCCCACTGGCCAGTGGAGCAGCTCTTACTTGCAGGAACTTCCCCGCCCCCCAATGCTGTAGAAAGAAAATTTCATCAGTAGGAAAGCATTTGAAGAATGCTGAAGAATGAAGGTTGTCTTCCACAAACATCCTGTCCTGAGCACTAACATCCCCAGATGGCAACAGTGGAAAGAATCATTGTTTCTGATAGTTCAAGAATTTAATTATTTTCCCCAATGGTATACCTTATACCTGCCTTCCATCTGCCCATAGCACTAACAAAAGATAACTCATCTGAAGGGGACTGAGAATCTTGCAGTCCAGGAAAATAGCCCCTTTCATGGACACTTCATGTCTGGGTCACTTTGTAGAAGTTACATACATTTTCTAAGTCTCGGATGCCTAATTTGTAAAATGAGGATCAATAATAGCGATCATGGAGTTGCTGTGGCAACAAACCCAAAGTGCTTTTGGAAGGTGCCCAATACATATTAGTATGAAACTGAATAATTACTATTTGTGGCTAATTTCTGCTGTTAGCTTCTTTTCTGTATCTTGGACTTGGATCCTTTCTCAGTGCCTTATAATGGGTGATTCATTGTACTCTTTCAGTTCAAAGCATTTCTCTTTATGACATACAATTCTTTCCAGAAATTTATCAGTGTTGGTAAATGCCCTCAACCTGACTCACACTGTAGGAAAGCCTCTAAGGAAATGTCTTCCATCCAGAATACTTACTACTATGTGTCAGAGCTCTTTCACAAAAAGTTATGACATTTAAATCTTTTCTTCCCTGAAGCCCTGTTTTTGGATGAGGAGTGCAAAAGGGTGGGTAAGGAACTAATAAAACCCTTTCTCCCCCAAAGAGACATTTGGTTTTCTTCTTAACTTTCTAGCTTTGTTCAGTTGGACACTTGGAATATCGATTGTGTTACTACGTCACGTTGCTTATGAATATAATGACCCTTGATGGACTATTTGCTTCTGGATTGGATGTAACTATGAGAAAATAATAATTTGTGGGAAGCCATGGCTTTGGGCTTCCCTGAGTGTAGTGTCTTATAATTGGGTATGTCTCTATTAGGCACTTCTGCAACTATGCCTATGGAATTATTACAATATCCTTACTTGAAATATCCACTTCAGAAATCTTGTTTTCCTTTTTCCAAATTCCTGTTTGCCCTCTCATGTCTTTTCTTTTCTCTTTCATTATGTAACTGCTCTAAAAATACTACTATAGCCCCAGACATTAAGCTCAGTCAAGCTTTTGATTTTCACTCTGAAAAAAAGAAAAAGAAAGAAAGAAAGGAAGGAAGAAGGAAAGGAAGAAAAAAGGGAAGAAGAAAAAAGAAAGAAGGAAAGAAAAAGAGAAAGCCCTGTAGTTATCCAGATAGCCTCTGTCTTTACCGCTCTTCAAGCATATGCTCTCAAAATCACTTCTGCATGCACACCTCACCTTCTCAAGGAAGTCATCAAAGCATGCAATGAACATAAAAAGACTTTTCCGAAGTATATATTCTCTACCCCCACCCACCATTTTGTGAAGGCTGTTTCCATAGCAAAATGAGCTCCATAGACTCAGACACTAGGTCTTTACCCATTGCTTGATCTCTTGAGTAATTTACTGGACAAGTTAGAAAAAAAATTAAAATCCATAGCACCATGGTTTACTCACAAATGGCGATGACCAAAATATGTGAACTAGTGTAACAATGACAGGAATATAACCAGTACTTTCTCTCTTCTCTTCTTGGAGGAATAATGCATAACAGAGATACCCCAAAGCATAGTAAATCACTCCGTTCATGATTTGCGCAGCCTGTGAGAAGAGAGAGCCGTCGTGAATACTCAAGTAAAATCTATCTGGATGATTACAATATGGTGACTGAAATGTCATGGCCATATCCAGCTTATCCTGGTTACTTCTGAAGCAGCGATGAAAGAACTACATGTTGGGGAAGAACCAAGATGGATAAAGAAAGGGCAGCCACAAATGGATGGTGAGGTCTCCATATTTATTTAAGTGGGGAATATGTGCTTTTGTTTCATTGACATCTTCAGAGATGTTTAATATCTAATTTTCTAGTTGGCTCTGGTTAAATAAAAAGCAGAGGCCTATTTGTCTGTTTGGTTCAGGAGGACACATGACCCAAAGGAGGGCGATTGGCCCTGAGGATCACTCAGGCTCTGCCTTGACATCCCTTTCCTTCGTACTGTTGGATCTGTGAGATCAACTCTGGATGGCAGGTATGTTCTCATTCTCTACCTCTGACCCAAAAGGGTACTTTTGGACCTTGCCTTTATTCTTCATCCTCTCTTGTCTTGAGAGTTGAGCTTCAGTTTCCTTTTGCTCTGCCCACTATGATTCTCTGTGCTATCTTTTGTAACTCTACTCTGGACCAGAGCCCTAAACTTTGTTCAAAAAAGCAAGAAGGAAGACTCTCCAGTAGGAGTCGGGCCTTATTCTCCAGATGGGGTAGAGCCACGGACACACACCAGTGGCAAGGGTGTCTGCAACTACTGAAGCAGGCAGGGGAAGGTCAGTCTTTTGTTTTAGCCAGGACTTCGCCTGATTGGATGAGGCAGATCCACATTATAGAAGATAGTCTGCCTCACTCCAAGTTCTCTGAGTTAAATGTTAATCTCCTCTCAAAAACACCTTCACAGGAGGGGGTGGGAAGATGGGCAAAATGGAGCAAAGCTAATGGGAGATACAGGCTTCCAGTTACAGATGAATAAGTCACAGGAATAAAAGGTACAGCATAGGGAATACCATGTATGGTATCATAACAGTGTTGCATGGTGACAGGTGGTAGCTCCATTTGCAGTGAGAATAGCATGAGGTCTAGACTTGTCCAGTCACTATGTTATACCCTTAGGACTAATGTAGCATTGTGTGTCAACTGCACTTCAATAAAAATAAATAAAATAAAATAAAGACATTCACAAAAACACCCAAATAATGTGACCAATTATCTGTGTACCCTGTGGTCCAAGCAAGTTGACACATAAAATTAATTGTCACAGAGAGACATGAAGTGGTTATTGGGCGATAAGACTCCTCTCCCTTGAAGTTTACACTGAGACAACACAAAAGCATGCATTTATTGGTTACGCATGCCTTGATCTGGCACATGGGGAATGGCCATTTGGGATGGGATCAAATGGACTTGCTCACTACTGTCACAGTCTTCAGAATCAACTCCTTTCTGGGCCATGAATCCACTGACTTACTCTGAGTTCAGCAGAGGACTCAGCAGGGCTTAGTAGGAGGAACTTGGTAGGAGATCCCAAACCCTTCATCCTTTCTGAGGTGGTGGATCTTACTGGTAGGCCTGTGGATGGCCAGTGACAGGACTACCCCTTTTCTTTTCTTTTCTTTTCTTTTTTAAGATTTTATTTATTTATTTGACAGACAGAGATCACAAGTAGGCAGAGAAGCAGGCAGAGAGAGAGGAGGAAGCAGGTTCCCTGCTGAGCAGAGAGCCCGATGCCAGGCTTGATCCCAGGACCCTGGGATCATGACCTGAGCCAAAGGCAGAGGCTTTAACCCACTGAGCCACCCAGGCGCCCCTGGCCTACCCCTTTTCACACGCACTGGCATGACTGTTGTCCAGGGCACAGAAAGAGACAAGGAGAAAGCAATCCATCTGTAAAATACCATGGCGATGGGGGATGAGGTAGAAAAAGACCAGTGTTCTGCCCCTGCTCTACTTGAGGCTCTGTTGTAAGACGTTGTGCCTTGCATTCTAGCCATGGACCAAATAGCTACCAGCCAGCTGGACATAATCATAGATTTGTTATATTGGGAATTTTCTGAGGACAAGTTTTAGTTTTGCTGGCTTATATTGAAGTGTGCATCAAGCCCCCACAAATAATAGTGGTTAATACAAAACGGGACAGCATTCTAAGGTTTAGGAGAGGTGAGAGGGAGAACATTGATATGGAATATGATCTCAGAGATAAATATAGGGGGGAGCATGTTTTGAGCCCAATATTATCAAATGGCCACTGGCCACAGAGCCCCAGTGTCTCCATCCCCTTCTGGTTTGGGGTCCATTGCCTGATCCTCACCACCTCATTTATGATCTATAAGCTTGTTTCAAACTGTTTACAAACAAAAGCAGAAAAGGGACATTCTTATTGCCTATGAGATTCATAGCCAGTCTGAATGTATTTGTTAAAACCCTCGGTAGACTGTGATGCTATTGAACTATCCAGAAATAGTCTGTGGATCCATAATTTGTGTCTAATTAACTATCGACTCAGAATACTTTCATCAACTTTCGTTCTTTTGGGGAGTTCACTGTAGATGTGGCCAATGCCTTCCCTTTTATGTTAGGAAGATGCAATGCTCATCATTTATTAACCTAAATAGCATTTAGTTCTTACCCCCAATGCTCTGCTCTCCAGTCTTAGGGTATAACTTCTTGGCATTTTAATTAAGATATGGTATAGAAATTACAGATAACGAATGGACTCCTTTTTCTGTAGAGGAATACAGAGAAAAGTTAAACTGATTACTTTTGAGATAAGACACTTTATATTACAGCCTCTGGTTTTCCACTACTTTCCTTGAAAGAAGATTTGAGTCAACTTACTGATATTACTCTCTGTTAGATACCTAATAACTTTCTGTCAAAAACCAAGAGCTACTTCTCAGGTTTTATGATGCCATCATGATCTTTAAATGAGACTGAGTAGTTATCTTTTGATATAAGTGCCCCACTCTCATTATTTTCACTTTTTCCAAGAATTACCTCCTCCCATAAATCCCTAGGGTCATCCAAGTTTGGGATCCTGGTTGCCATGTTTGGTCTTCACAAGAATATCTCTCAATCTAGCCACAGTTGCTTGGAAAAGTTGTGGGCATCTTATGTAATTGAGGCAATCATAGTTCCCTTCCCAAGAAATTATATTTAGCACTAAGACAATATAGTCCCAATCTGGACTTGAAAAGAAGAGTGAATGAACCCCTGGAGTATAGAGATGGAGGGAGTATTACCTAAAGATTCTAATGGTTCTCACTTCTCTGACTCTAGTTGCTTTTTTAGACCTATCTACAAGCCACATCTGTCTGCATTTTTAAGACAAATTCCTCTTTATTTCAGTTAAAACTAGTGTAAGAGGATGTACGTCAAGGGGGAATTTTCATAATGTTCCAGAATAATGGCTAGGTACTAAAAAAACTTGGGACAAAAGGCTGTATTTTGTACCTTAAGTTGATAAAATTGCCAGAGGTTGTGCCTAGTAACTTTCTCCAAGGGCTTACTGGTAGATGATGGTTCTGTGAAGTAGCTATGGTCAGTTGAATTATTGTCCCCAATTATTGTTTCCCTTTTCTTTGTTACAGAGTTCTACACCTTCACATGTTGCTTTGTGACTTTCAGTGTCCTTCCTCCACTCCAGGGAAGGAATATGTCTCTATACTTGCTGATATTGGATGTGATCCTGGACCATGCTTTCACTGGTCTAATGTGAGGGACATGACACATGCCAAGCCTGAGCCAAGGCCTGATGAGGTCTTATAAGTTTCTATCATTTTCCTCTGTTGTGAGGGCATCATTTCCCAGGATTTTGCTGTACTTTAGTGTAGAGCCCAGAATGAAGACACATGGAGGCACACCCATAGCTGACCTATAGCATCAAACAAGAATTAATTTATTTGACAGAGAGAGCACAAGCAAGGGGAGCAGCAGGCAGAGAGGGAGGGAGAAGCAGACTCACTACAGACCAGGCAGCCGACACTGGGCTCTATCCCAGGACCTGGGGATCATGACCTGAGCCAAAGGCAGATGCTAAGCCAACTGAGCCACCCAGGCACCCCCTGGTCTTCCCTTTTTCCCATCCAAGTACTAACCAGGCCCACCCCTGCTTAGCTTCTGAGATCAGATGAGATTGGACGTGTTCAGGGTGGTATGGCTGTAGACTGGTCTTCCCTTTTTAAGCAATCACTCCCTCCATGTAATTTCTCTCCTATTCTCTCTTCATTTATTTAGGAAAATGGCTGGATTCTATGAATTTAGATGAAATCAATAGAGTAGAGAGTTTTGATAGTCAAAAGTCTCAAACCATAAGAATACATGTGAACTCAGACCCCTCCAAAATAAATGTTTCTAGCTTGGTTCCCAAAATTTGCCCAACAGAAGAACTAGAGCTTTTCCTCACTATTAAATGTCCTGTGTAACCCTAGTGTCCACATTTGGTTCTCTAACTGTCTTTTCTTTCACAAAGAAGCAGGAGGGTAGTTACTGAAGAAAAGCATAATGTATATAGACACCCTCTTCTTGAAATAAAGCAAGAATGCTGTTGAGAATATTAGATACAGTGCACAAAGGATAAAGAAACCAGGTTAATGGGGCCTTCACCAGGTGAGCTGAGACAAGTTGAATAACCAAAAAAAGAATAAAAATCATGACCATTTAAAATGACCGGTCTACAAAAAGCCATGAATTCATCATGATACACAAAGGGAAGATTTGAAGTGTTAATAGAGGTGATTATACTGCCCATGCAATGTGAACATGTTAGGATGTATTTTATTTTTCATTGATTTGAGGGGTAGGAAAGTATAAATATGCATATGTGTATTTCATTTCTTCAAGTGGATATCCATTTGTAAAGGATAAATAAGTATATAAAGATATGGATATTTACAGGAATAAATATGAAAGATGGACTCAAATATTATGAGTAAGCTCTATGGTCCACTGGTGGCTATTTTTGGTATAAGGGACAGCCAAGAGTTGATTAGCACCACAGGTTTCATTCATTTCCCAGGTAGAAAATACAGGTAGCTATTGGCCCTGAATGTTATGTGCAAACAATCATTAATTTAAGGATTGGTCCACAGTACATTTCAAGATGATCAATAAGGCAAATGTCCCACAGAGGAGAATTAACTGTTCAGACTCAGTCTGCCATCACTTATTCAATGTTAACCCCATTATACTAAAAGCTTAAGGAGGCATTCACACATTTCCAATTACGCTAGTTAGCCAGGTCATTATGTTGTAATGTTGGGATAAAGGAGTAGGTAGGAGGTGATGGTTAGGCAAAACTGAAAACCTTTCTCTTTCATGTGAGAGGAAAAGAACTAAATGTCCTGTGATGTAACAGAGATTCACTTTCCAAAGAGATTCAGTTTGATGACCAGTGCTCAAATATGAGTAACTTCGGTTTGCTGAACCAGGTCCTAAAACTCCACCACCAATCCATGGATCTGACAACCCATATACTGCAACCTTGCTTGGAATGAGAAAATTTATTTTTCTTTTGGGTCTGGTAAGATTATTTGCAACCTTAGTATGTTTAAAAACAGTATCTGGGGTGGGGGAGCCTGGATTGCTCAGTGGGTTAAAGCCTCTGCCTTTGGCTCAGGTCATGACCCCAAGGTCTTGGGATGGAGCCCCACATTAGGCTCTCTGCTCAGCGGGGAGCCTGCTTCCTCTCTCTCTCTCTCTCTCTCTCACTGTCTGCTTCTCTGCTTATTTGTGATCTCTGTCTGTCAAATAAATAAATAAAATCTTAAAAAAAACAGTATCTGGGAGCACTTGGATGACTCAGTGGTGGAGCATGTGATCTTGGGGTTGTGAGTTCAAGCTCCACACTGGGTGTAGAGATTACTAAAATTAAAAAAAAAAAAACACAGTATCTGTTAAAACTGTTACCCTAGAAAATATAAAGAAAAAGGTAAACTAAAAATGACAGAGTTATTTCTTTGGCAGGTACTTCTATGTTCTATACATGTATTAACTCATATAGACTACTCAGTAACTCCGTGAGATAGTACTCTGAAATGGCAAATTCTTAGAGACAGTCTACCAAGACTGAATCATGAAGAAGAGGGAAATACAAATAGAGTATTAATGAGTAAGTAGATTGAATCAGTAATCAACACCCCCCCCCGCCACCAAAATAAAAGAGTCCAGGACCAAATAGCTTCACTGGTTGATTTTACCAAACATTTAAAGAATACAAATCCTTCATAAATTTTTCAAAAAAAATGGAAGAGGGAGGAAGTCTTCCACACTTTTTCTATGAGCCCTCATTTGCCTATTTCCAGAGCCAGATAATGACACTATAAGAAAAGAAAATTATAGGTCAATATCCCTGATTAACATACATGTGAAAACTCTCAACAAAATATTAGCAAACCAAATTCAATAGCACATTAAAAGAAATACATCCCATGATCAAGTGGGATTTATCCCTGGGATGCAAGAATGATACAACATATGAAAATCAATAAATGTTAGAATGGCCAAAATCAACAAGACAGGAAACAACACATTGGAGAGGATGTGGAGAAAGGGGAACCCTCTTACACTGTTGGTGGGAATACAAGTTGGTGCAGTCACTTTGGAAAACAGTATGGAGATTCCTTAAGAAATTAAAAATAGAGCTACCCTGTGACCCTGCAATTGCACTACTGAGTATTTACCCCAAAGATGCAGATGTAGTGAAAAGAAGGGCCATCTGTACCCCAATGTTCATAGCAGCAATGGCCACAGTCACCAAACTGTGGAAAGACTGAAGATGCCCTTTAACAGAGGAATGGATAAAGAAGATATGGTCCATATATACTATGGAGTATTATGCCTCCTTCAGAAAGGATGAATACCCAACTTTTGTATCAACATGGATGGGACTGGAAGAGATTATGCTGAGTGGAATAAGTGAAGTAGAGAGAGTCAATTATCATGGTTTCATTTATGTGTGGAACATAAAGGAACAACACGGAGGACATGGGGAGATGGAGAGGAGAAGTGAGTTGGGGGAAATTGGAGCGGGGGAGATGAACCATGAGAGACTGTGGATTCTGAGAAACAAACCGAGGGTTTTGGAGGGGAGAAGGGTGGGAGGTTGGGTAAGCCTAGTGGTGGGTATTATGGAGGGCACATATTGCATGGAGCACTGGGTGTGGTGCATAAACAATGAATTCTGGAACACTGAAGAGAAATTGAAAAAAAAAAGGAAAGGATGAATACCTAACTTTTGTATCAACATGGATGGGACTGGAAGAGATTATGCTGAGTGGAATAAGTGAAGCAGAGAGAGTCAATTATATGGTTTCACTTACTTGTGGAGCATAAGGAACAACATGGAAGACACTGGTAGATGGAGAGGAGAAGTGAGTTGGGGGAAATCGGAGGGGGAGACAAACCATGAAAGACTGTGGACTCTGAGAAACAAACTGAGGGTTTTGAAGGGGAGAGGGGTGGGGCGTTGAGTGAACCTGGTGGTAGGTATTAAGGAGGGCACGTATTGCATGGGGCACTGGGTGTGATGCATAAACAATGAATTTTGGAAAACTGAAAAAAATTAAATTTAAAAAAATCAATAAATGTGATACATCACATTTACAAAATGAAGGATTAAAAAAATTCCAATTGATGCAAAAAAGCATTAGACAAAAGTCAACATCCTTTCATGAT